GGGGGGTGGGGAGTTGGGGAGAGATAGCATGGGGAGAAATGCCAGATATAGGTGAAGGGGAGGAAAGCAGCAAATCACGCTGCCATGTGTGTACCTATGCAACAATCTTGCATGTTCTTCACATGTATCCCAAAACCTAAAATGCAATAAAAAAAAAAAAGAAATTATGGCAATAATAATTTATAATTCTTTGTTAAAAATAAAACCTATAGAAAAAATACTGTAGTAGTATTATAATCACTCTTAATAAGTTATTTTACCAAAGAACATGTCTAGCATGCTCTAGGAAGTACAGACTGGCAGCTAAAACTTGAACAAAAGGATACTTTTATGGACAAAGGCAAGATTAGTCTGGCCCAGTTGTAAGGCAGTCACCATGGCTGTTTTGTCATCCAGTAAAGCTACTTTCTTAGAATGAGAACCATTAAATGCAACTCTATGGTCTTGCAATTCCAGTGTATAATGTTCCAGGGGAAATTTCACCTCTGTAAGACATGAAAGATACATAAATGTAATAACAGCAGCCATTCCAGTGGATAATGATGTATTCTTGATCATAAAGGAATGATCAGGAAGCAGACATAAAATATAAGTATGATCTGCTTCTAATGTTTTTCCTGCTATGATGAATTTCTACATGTAACCATTTGGGGCTAATACATGAGTTAAAATGTATTGTTGGAGGCCGGGTGTGGTGGCTCACGCCTGTAATCCCAGCACTTTGGGAGGCCAAGGCGAGCGGATCGGCTAAGGTCATGAGTTCAAGACAAGCCTGGCCAACATGGTGAAACCCTGTATCTACTAAAAACATAAAAATTAGCTGGGCATGATGGTGCATGCCTGTAATCTCAGTTACTTGGGAGGCTGAGGCAGGAGAATCCCTTGAACCCAGGAGGCAAAGGTTGCAGTGAGCTGAGATTGCGCCATTGCACTCCAGCCTGGGTGGCAGAGCAAGATGTCACCTCAAAATATATATATATATATATATATATATATATATATCTGGTATTGCTTGTATTCTTAAAAACTAGTGAACTGAGTAGCAGGAGGAGTCATTATAGTAATGAAAAGACTAATGTTAATGGAATGTAACTTTTAGTATCAATAGAATATTAAGTTTTCAGTTGATGAATTGGGTTTCTCAAGAAACAACTTTTACAAAGATCATTGCAATGATCATTCAAGTCCCTTCTGGTAAAGTGTCTTCACTTGCCCTTTAACAGCTAGTAAAGTTTTTGTTGTTTTATTTATTTAGTTACTTTTAGGGATGGGGTCTTTGGCCTGACACAGTGGCTCATGCTTATAATCTCAGCTCTTTGGGAGGGAGGCCAAGGTGGGAGAATCACTTGAGACAAGGAGTTCAAGACCAGTGTGGATAACATAATGAGATCCCATCTCTACCTAAAAAAAAAAAAAAAAAAGGGCTGGATATGGTGGCAGGAACCTGTAGTCCCAGCTACTTGGGAGGCCAAAGTGGGAGGATCACTTGAGCACAGGAGTTCGAGGTTGCAGTGAGCTATGATTATGCCACTGTACTACAACCTGGACAACAGAGGGAGACCCCCTCCATCTCAAAAAAATAAAAATAAATAAATACAATTAAATTAAAAAGCAATGGGGATCTTGCTCTGTTGCCTAGGTTGGTCTCGAACTTCTGGCCTCAAGCAATCTTCCTGCCTCAGCTTCCAGAGTAGCTGGAATTACAAGTGAGAGCCACCATGTCTGGCCGGTTGTTGTTGTTTTGAGATGGAGTCTCACTCTGTAGCCCACTGGAGTGTAGTGGCACGGTCTCAGCTCACCACAACCTCCACCTCCTGGGTCCCAGTTCAAGCAATTCTCCTGCCTCAGCCTCCCAAATAGCTGGGATTACAGGCACATGCCACCATGCCTAGCTAATTTTTGTATTTTTAGTAGAGACGGGGTTTCACCATGTTGGCCAGGCTGATCTTGAACTCCTGACCTCATGATATGCCCACCTTGGACTTTCAAAGTGTTGGGATTACAGGTGTGAGCCACCGCACCCGGCCTAGTTGTTGTTTTAATAGAGAATTCAGATGCCTCTTGCAACTGAAGCTACACAGCCGAACTATGCCATTAATATGTTCAAGATATGGAGCTATCTATGTCTAATATTAATTAAGTATAGCAATTAATACTCTATAACAAAATCTAAAAACCCAAATATTTTTCATATGTAATGTGGAGTTGCTGATCTTGTCAGCAGAAAAGATTCGGGAAATGTGAGTCATCATAGGAGAAAAAATAAATCACCTTACCTGTCATTCTCCCTTGAACCATTTTTGCAACTTGGTATTTAATATATGCTCCTACTAAGAGATAAATATCATGGGATGGTATAAGAAATATATTCTCCCAAACAAGCAGACGTATCAATGCTGCTGCCACCTTCTAAAAGAGGTAGGAAAAAAACCAGTTTACATGGACAGAATTCTCATAGTCATCTTTCTTGTTAAAAGCTTACTTCTTTCAAATTTCTTTAAAACATTTTTTTTAAAAAAGCTTTCCTAATCAAAAGTCATAATTTCAGCTACCCTTAAAAAGTGATCATGAATCTTAATACCTTGTTAACTTTTTTGGATTTTTTTTAGGTACTCAGACTAAGAATAGAAAAGTCTTCTAAAAGAGAAAAAGTAGGTAAATAGAAAGGCAAGTATGCTGAAATGAGAAAAGGTAAAACTCGGTTGTGAAACACAGAAATTCTTTTTTTTTTTTTTTTTTTTTTTTTGAGACAGATTCTCACTCTGTTGCCAGGCTGGAGTGCAGTGACTCGATCTCAACTCAATGCAATCTCTACCTCCCATGTTCAAGTGTTTCTCCTGCCTCAGCCTCCCAAGTAGCTGAGATTACAGGTGCGCACCACCACACCCAGATAATTTTTTTGGTATTTTTGGTAGAGACGGGGTTTCACCATTTTGGCCAGGATAGTCTTGATCTCCTGACCTCGTGATCCACCCGCCTCAGCCTCCCAAAGTGCTGGGATTATACCGCGCCCGGCCTGAACGCAGAAATTCTTTTAGCCAACCTCCAGTTAACTGACTTGCCAGGTTAAGTTACTTTCCACTCCCTGTTGAACACATTGATTTTTGTGAGGATTTACCCAATGCAAGGTTGGTAGGCTTCTCTCTAGGAGGTCCACACACTCGTGTTCTTGCCACTGAATTAAATGCTTACCAAAAGACATTTGTTTTTCCCAAATCTATTTATGCAAGTTGTGCTTGTAATTATAATTGTGTTAAAACAAAACTATAGATGTGAAAAGAGAACTGTTGTTTGTACTAAAAATTTAAAAGTTTTGGCTGGGCACAGTGGCTCACGCCTGTCATTATAGCACTTTGGGAGGCCAATGCAGGCAGATCGCCTGAGGTCAGTTCAAGACCAGCCTGGCCAACATGGTGAAACCCCATCTCTACTAAAAATAAAAAAATTAGCTGGGCATGGTTGGCAGCTACCTGTAATCCCAGCTACTCAAGAGGAGGCAAGAGAGTCGCTTGAACCTGGGAGGCGGAGGTTGCAGTGAGCCGAGATTATGACGTTGTACTCCAGCCTGGGTGACAGAGCAAGACCCTGTCTCAAAAAAAAAAAAAAAAAAAAAATTAAATTTTTCCAAACAAAGTGAAAGGCAAGCTGCTAATATATACTATCAATTAGGTGCAAGTGAGAAATGTAAAATATTAGGGAAAATCCTTTAAAATATAAAATTCTGCACTCAAATTCTTCCTGCATCTAAATTTTCACTTGACTAGAAATTAGGGCTATGGGCGGTGGCTCACACCTGTAATCCTAGCACTTTAGGAGGCCAAGGCGGGTGGATAACTTGAGGCCAGCAGTTCAAAACCAGCCTGGCCATCATAGCGAAACCCTGTCTCTACTAAAAATACAATAATTACTGTGCATGGTGGCACACACCTATAACCCCAGATACTTGGGAGGCTGAGGCACAAGAATCACTTGAACACTTCCACCCCCAAAAAACAAAGAAATTAGAAACTGTAGTTTATGCAAGAAAGTGTATGTAGATTTCAAATCAGTGAACTAATGGTTAAAGAAAGGCCTTTCACCTACATCAAAGATTGTTGAATAAACTGTAGTTATATCTTTTAAGAGAAAATGCCAGTCACATTTGTAATTGTAATCAGGCAATAAAATGTTTAAGAAAGATAATTTTTTTTAATGCTTACCCACTTCAAATAACTTTTTCAATTAAATGACCAACTACTGGTCCAAATCAGATAAGGTTAGAGGGCTTTACTATAGATAAGCATAAATAACTATGTTTTCCATAGGCAAGACTATTAGATGAAAATTTATAGCACTTGCCAGGTGTGGTAGTTCACACCTGTAATCCCAGCGCTTTAGGAGGCCGAGGCAGGCAGACTGCTTAAGCTAAGAAGTTTGAGACCAGACTGGTCAACATGGCGAAACCCTGTCTCTACAAAACAAAACAAAACAAACAAGCAAACAAACAAAAAACAGGGTGTGGTGGTGCATACCTGTAGCACCTGGGCAATAGAGGGAGATCCTACCTTGAAGAACAAAAAAAAGTAAGGGAAATTTATAACACAAACTTTTTACCTTATAGAATGGTTCATGAATTCGAACTTTTACAACAGCAGCACCAGTTCTAATCCCGGACACTAAAATCATATCTCCTTGTTTCTCCTCTTTTTCCATCTTAGTTATATATACTGGGGGAGAATATTCTGCTTCAGAGTATTTAAGAATCCTAAAGACATAAAATACAATGTGTTTCTAGCAGAATTAAATGATGTCTTCTTCCAAAAGTCCCTAAGATACGTTAAACATAGCTTCTTCGATGTCTATAAAATATAAAACACTTTTGGCTGGGCATGGTGGCTCATGCCTGTAATCCCAGCACTTTGGGAAGCCGAGGCAGGTGGATCACCTGAGGTCAGGTGACCAGCCTGGCCAACATGGCGAAACTCCATCTCTACTAAAAATACAAAAATTAGCCAGGTGTAGTGGCACACACCTGTAATTCCAGCTATTTGAGAGGCTGAGACAGGAGAATTGCTTAAACTTAGGAGGTGGAGGTTGCAGCGAGCCACTTCACTCCAGCCTGGGGGACAGAGTGAGATGCTGTCTCAAAAAAAAAAAAAAAAAAAAAAGGAAAGGAAAGAAAAGAAAAGAGAGGCCAGGCGTGGTGGCTCATGCCTATAATCGCAGCACGCCGGGAGGCCAAAGTGGGTGGACCACTTGAGGTCAGGAGTTCAAGACCACCCTGGCCAATATGGCGAAACCCCATCTCTACTAAAAATACAAAAATTAGCCGGGCATTGTGGCAGGCTCCTGTAGTCCCAGCTATTTGGGAAACTGAGGCAGGAGAATCGCTTGAACCAGGAGGTAGAGGTTGCAGTGAGCTGAGATTGTGCCACTGCACTTCAGCCTGGGTGACAGAGCAAGACTCCATCTCAAAAAGAAAAAAAAAAAGAAGAAAGAAAGAAAGGTGTTTATGAGCCTCTGGCTAAAATTGTGGTAGAAGTAAACTTGGATTGTCTGAGATCTACTCCTTGGTACTGAAGACAAAATTTCATACAATTATCCTTCTCCCTCTACTTCAGCATATGCAAGCAGCTTGAACAAAAAGCTGCCAGAAGATACACCTGGCTCAAATAATTGTATGGTCCTTAGCTCACGAACTCCTCCATAATGGCTCAAATTAAGCCATCATAAAGGTACCTACATCTATGTCACGGTTCATTCTATCAAAGACATTCCCCCTCAGTAATTTATCTGTTAACAGACAGCAGGATCATCAAAGTTGATGCAAATTCTTGCTTGTTCAGTATGCCATTTAATGGAAGATGTCTTCTTCATAGTCAGATGATTTGTGTTTGGCTTCAAGTTTACCTAATTTTACTAGACAGTTCTTCTCTTGCTGACTCGTTGTCCTGGGCAATGCTCCACTCAAACATCATCCCTGCCAAACTACTAAAAGTATTTCCTGTAGAGCAAGCCAAAAGCAGACAAGGTAGGATCACGTATTAAAAAACATTCAGGTATTTACGACAAGAAAGGGAAATCTAACTAGAAAATTACTTTGAGGCATCTTTCATTAAGAAATAGAAAGCACTATCATTAATTAATTAAAACATATATATGAGAAAGATCCCTACACAAACAAATGTTGTTGCTGCACAAGCTGTCTGAAAGTAAAAAGAAATCAAGCTGATTAACTTCTGGTTGACAATAATTATGACATGCTCTTTCTGTTCCTTTCTACATGAGGGCCATCTCACGGTTGACAAGGCATCCTTAATCCTGGTCCCCTCCACACAAATTTTTGTAAAAATCAGTTTCCAGGCCAGGTGCAATGGCTTGTGCCTCTAATCCTAGAACTTTGGGAGGCCAAGGCAGGAAGTTCACTGGAACCCAGGAGTTTGAGACCAACCTGGGTAACATAGTGAAACCCGGTCTGTGAAATAAAAACTTAGCCAGGCATGGTGGCCTGTGCCTGTAGTCCTAGCTACTCGGGAGGTTGAGGTAGGAGGATTGATTGAGCGTGGGAAGTCAAGCCTGCAGAGAGCCATGTTTGTGTTACCACATTCCAGCCTGAGCAACAGACTCTGTATCATAAAAAAAAAAAAAAAAAAAAAAAAAAAAAAAAATAAAAAAAAAAAAAAAAAAAAAAAAAAAAAAAAAAGCTTCTAGAATAGTTCATTTTTCAGACCAAAAAAAATCACTCTGCAGGGCACAGTGGCTCATGCCTGTAATCCTAGCATTTTGGGAGGCTGAGGCAGGTAGACCACAAAGTCAGGAGTTCAAGACCAGCCTGGCCAATATGCTGAAATCCCACCTCTACTAAAAATACAAAAAATTAGCCAGGCATGGTGGTGGGTGCCTGCAATCCCAGTTACTTGAGAAGCTGAAGCAGAGAATTGCTTGAACCAGGGAGGCGGAGATTTGCAGTGAGCCGAGATCACACTACTGCACTCTAGCCTGGGTGACAGAGCAAGACTCTGTCTCAAAAAAAAAAAAAATCACTCAAGTAATTTACAAAGAAAGTGGCAATACATTATATATACATATATATACACATATATATATGTGTGTATATATATATATATATATATATTTTTTTTTTTTTTAATCGACTACGGGAAACTTGGCCTCACAGGATACTTCTTCTACCTTGGGGTCCCAAACTGTTAGAATTATAAGCATGAGCTACCACATCCTACCTAAATGGTTTTTTTGTTTTGTTGTTTACCACCTAAATGTTTTTAATACCACATTACAGCATTAATATAGTATAGAATATTAAAAGCATTAAAGATTAGATCAAGACTGTAACTTTTTCACAGACTTACGTTTAATTCTCCTGGTTTATAGAAAGTGGATTGATCAAACAGAGCTAGCAATAAATTCTAAAAAATGTTCTTAATTGTTGATCTAGGGACCATGAGCAGAAGCTCAGTGGCAGATTTGGATATTTAAGAAAAGTTCTGAGGCCGGCACAGTGACTCATGTAATCCCAACACTTTGGGAGGCCGAGGTGGGCGGATCACTTGAGGCCAGGAGTTCAAGACCAGCCTGGCTAACACGGTGAAAACCTGTCTCCCTTAAAAACACAAAAATTAGCAGGTGTGGCAGCACGCACCTGTAATCCCAGATACTCGAGAGGCTGAGGCACAAAAATCGCCTGAACCCAGAGGGCAGAGGTTGCAGTGAGCCAAGATCAAGCCACTGCACTCAAGCCTAGGCAACAGAGCAAGACTCCATCTCAAAAAAAAAAAAAAGAAGAAGAAAAGAAAAGAAAGGTCACAGTAGCTCATGCCTGTAATCCTAGCACTTTGGGAGGCTGAGGTGGGTAGATCACCTGAGGTCAGGAGTTCTTGACCAACATGGTGAAACCCTGTCTCTACTAAAAATACAAAATTAGCCAGGGGTGGTGGTGCAGTCCTGTAATCCCAGCTACTCTGGATGCTGAGGCAGGAGAACTGCTTGAACCCAGGAGGCAGATGGTGCCATTGCACTCCAGCCTGGGTAACAAGAGTGAAACTCTGTCT